CGCAGACTCTCTTAAAAATGAGTCAGTCAGACCTCAAGGTTTATTGGTGTAAGCCCTGCGATGGACTGGAGATCTCTGTGTCGATGGTGAAACAGCAGCCTGTGCTGGATGCAGGAGGCTCCTGGCTTTCCTTTACAGTGGAATCAGCCCACTGTCTCCCTCTGTCTTTAAAATTTTAGGCTTCAAATTAACTCTAGATTAGGATCTATCAAAATTCATACGGACGAGAATTTTAAACCATTTTTGGCTAAATAACGTCGTATTAAACGTATCTGTCATGACACAGAAACATTGGATGGAATGAGTAGGAATCAGCCCAATGCCTCCCTCAGAAAAATCCAGAATATTCCAAGTTCCTGTTCAGCCTCCGTTTTACCGAGAGAGCTCTAATTTGACACAGAGACATCTGAGGATGGTCTCCTCATGTGGTCCAGGTTTCATAGAGCTATACCTTGGGTAGAAGAAGTTATGGCTTGATGAATACTGCAAAGAGAGTCAATCTGACCACTGAAGTGAATTGATCATAATCTGTATATTCCTGGTCAACCTGCCTTCACCATGAGTCAGCTGGGATAGACTCCAGCCCCCCGCGACCCTAGTGAGGATTAATATAGATGATGGATGGATGGATAGAATATATGTTTGGTTAACTACAGATCATACAAAATCAGATTTTAATAAATTGTTATTGTGGCCATAATAATTCACAGTAACAACATTATTTTGATGTCTAAGATTATTATTCTTATTACTTTAATAATGCTGTCGGTCATATTCATCAATGACTTTGTTTATTGTGTGTTTCATCTAGTTTTTTGTAAGTAGATTGTGCTCAACATGAGTGGACAGAGAGTCAGTGACCATAACTGTGCAAAAAACAACAAAAAGAACAAATTAATTAGTGGATAATTACACAGCAACCAGATAAACCGATAAACAAAAGACACATAAACAATGTAAAGTGAAACTACCAACTATTTTAGAGCATCAAGCACATAGTTACTGCTGCTTGCAGTATTATTACGTACATTATTTGCATTGTACTGTTATTTAATTTTCTTTCAAGACATCCCCACTACTGACCACTGATTTCTGAGATAATGATAATCTCTTTAATGTACAGCAGAATAAATTCGGTCTGGGTGTTAATATCTACGCTCGACTTTCAACTAATGCTTTTTGCACGCGATGTGCGATTTGGGTTTACAGCAGGATTAGTGGTTCGGTGGTTTATCGTGGACATTTCAGCTGATCTGGATAGCTTCACTTTATTTGCATTTCCACCATCTGAAGAGTTTACTTGTTATACTGTGACTAGTGGTGGTAGCAGAAAACAGCATTTAGTTTATCGGGTTTTCCAAATGTCCTCATGCAACATTTACAAACACAGCAGGCTGATCGATGCTTTAATAAGTTGCTGAAGTGGTATTTCAGTGGTTTATTGTTGATCTTCTGTAAGGTTATGTTTTAAAAGAATTGGTTGAAAAAGAAGCAGCATGGGGACGTTTTCCTGAGTTCCTAATCTCTAAAATGGGTCAGGCTGTCGTGCCTCAGTTTGAAATGCAAGTTATCTATTATACATCTGTAGAGATGGCATTATCGGAGTTATTTCCTCTTCTGAAGGTTCCCATTCCACCAAAGAATGAAAGGTGTGGCTGATGCTGGATTTGTGCCAACACTGACTTTATTTTATGTAAAATTCTGCTATCATTATATACCGTATATACATGTACTCTGCTACATGTGCTGCAAACAGCGCTGAGAGCAACAACCGAGTCAATCTAACTGAACAAACCATGATGACACTAAACAGTTTTCAT